CAGGGTTAGAAGGCGACGTGGTGAAAGGAGGAATCTTACAGTTTTTTGTTGAAAGACATGTTCATCACACTGTTGGAGTTATGGTTTGGGGTGCTATAGCTTATGGTTCTAGGTCACTTTTAATCTTCATTAGAGGTAACATGAACGCGCAGCGTTATATCCACGAAGTTCTAGAACCCCATCTTTTACCCTATCTTGACACCCTGGCAGATCCAACTTTCCAACAAGATAATGCCAGACCACATGTTGCAAGAGTCACAATAGACTTATTTCAACATAATGATGTCACATTGTTACCATGGCCACCAAGATTTCCCGACTTATCCCCAATTGAGCACGTGTGGGATATGATGGGTAGGAGATTGCTCAATTTGCAACGTCCTCCTCAGACTCTAGAAGCACTTCGAGAGGAGTTGGTGGTTGCCTGGAATGAGATACCACAGGAGGACATTGACCACCTGATCAGAAGCATGCCTAGGCGCGTTGGAGAATTCGTAGTACATCAGGGTGCATCCACACATTATTAAAGGTCAAAGGGCTTTAAAGCAGTGCAATCATTTTGAAATTTTTATCATTTACTTATTATGCTTCATTAAGTACTTATACAAAATTTTATTAAAATAAAACCATTTAAACTGGGTGTTCGGATTTATATGTCACTTAGTATAATTAATCCTGCAAAACGGTTACCATGGTACACGTACGAAGGCTTCACAAATATAGGTCTTACAAATAATTTAACGCCTAAACCTAAACTTATCTGGACAATGGTCTTATGTGGATAATGGTCTTCTTCCAGTTACAGCTCTAGGTACAGCTGAGATGTCCACAGCTTACAAACGCTCAGGTCAAAAACCAGTGGCTAGCAGTGAACGGTGACGTAAGAAACGTCACAAGGTAGAGGCTGATTGCCTCGTTTCCAAAAGTTACGGTATAAAAAAAACCTAGAGATAGAAAAATACTGTTTAAAATTTTACTCTCTACTCTATGTCTGACATAGAACTACTCATTTAAAAGGCTGAAACTTGAAGAAAAATCCATGTACATTCTCTTTTAAGAAAACTACTTTTCTTTCTGCAAGGGCAAGAAAATACAAAAATTTGCAAAATAGATACACCCTCGGAAATGTATCCCTTGTTCTAAAATAAGCAGGTCAAAATTCAAAATTATGATTAATGAAATTAGCCCGAAAGACGGTGACATGCAGGCACTACCCTATATTTGAATACGTAATATGCCAAACAAAATCAAGAACGCACTAAGAATTTCAGTCAGCAACAATCAATATATTAATATCTATAAAATACCCAATTAAAATGATGTTTTACCTGTTTATATCAGGGTTCTTTATCATGGGAAGAGATGGCTTCCAACAAAATCGGCTGCAAAACAGCTACAGGGCAGCAACAAAACAAAGCTGAAGGAGTGTGAATGGTGGGAAGGGAATCAGATATTGAACAAACTTCTTCAGGTCAAGCATTAATGGACATAGTCCGATGGTATACAAAATAGAACTTACCGCTGGCGGTTAAAATCCCATTACAAAATGGACGGATAGTACCCTAACCAACACAACGAAATGTAAGGTACAAAATAAAAGGGTATTGCTCCATAAACTGGTGTTTGGGGCGTTAATATCCCAAAAACGCCGCACACAACCAAAATCACAGCGGAAAAGCAAAAGTAAAATGGCGCTGGACGCGTCGGTACGCAATTAAAAGAAGGTATCTTGATAGTAAATCACATTTCAAAAGAAGGTATCTTGATGGTAAATCAAATTTTAACAGAAGGTATCTTCATAGGAAAGTAAACATTAAAAGAAGGCTTGAAGAAGCTTATCTTGATAGAACAAAATATCCCTATACTGCTAGTACGTGTAAAGTCACAAGGTGGCGCACTGGTTACCAATGGGCAGTAGGCAGAAACAAATCTGTCTACGAGAGACAAACAATATTTTGTGAGGAAATTTCTAAGATCGTTAATAATACTATAACATTAGTGTCCAAAAGATTTCAATTCAATACTAAACACCTCATCTTGCAGCGTTAAAATGACGTCACGTGGGTTGACTCATTCAGAGAATAACGAGATTTGGTGGATTAAGATACATTTCGCGAGCCTCTGCGAAATGTGGTCTATGCGGGAGAGTGAAACACTCCAACATGCAACAATAAATGATGTCAAGTAGATTGACTCGTTAAGGGAATGACGTTATTAGATCCAAGGATGTCAGAAACGGTAGGAGGCTGAATGGTACCACAGTAAGATGAAAGCCTTAAGTTATTGAATGACCTTAATTGAGATGCTTTACAGGTACCTATAGTCACAGATATGGTGTAAAAAGTACTTTTGGTTTTTAGTAATGGATACGGCATACTGTTAACTTTGAGAGTACACGCAAATTTAGTTTTTTGGCAATCCGAAAGTTGGCCTGGAATTACGTAGATACAAATTCATTTCATTTCTAAGCCGGCGAGAAAGTTTTGAAACCACGGGTTTTGTGCTCGTGTAGGCCCGTGCGTGCATCTGTGGGCGACTCTATGTGTAGATTTATCATGAGTGGAAGGCTGTACATGCCTGCCTTACTGGCTCATTATTAGCAACTTATTGTGCGGAAGCTTCGTAATTCCGAGGAATGACTTCATGCGTGATTTTTATTATCGTTTAAGGATCTTACCTCAGATATACGGTTAATGTATGTGCTTTGAAAGTGCAAGTCATTGTTGAATACGTGTGGGGTTACTGTAGTTTGTTCATTTGAGCAATGTTTGGAGGAAGAAATTTTCAAGTGAGATCTGAAGAATAATGATTCCAGCGATAAGGCTCAGAAACTGAAGTTGCTTGGAAGGTAGCACTTGTTAATTGAGTAAATGCATCAGAGGGGGAAATTTTTCATATAAGTTCAGAGAAGTACAGTCTAGAGACCGCAAGTATTAACTTTGCATCTAGATGGTAGCACATTCTCAATCAGGCTATTGTCGTGTGAAAAACCAAGAAATTGTGGTTAACAATGATTCCACTCTTAGCTATAAACTATTTTCTTTACCTTATGTAGATGATTATCAAAAGAGCAAAGCTTCGTGTGAGAAATTTGACAAATACAAACCAGATAGAATATTTTGAGACCTGTGGATGATAGATGGGTACTACTTTTGACGACCTCTGATATGAGTTTTTTCTTCTAACATTCCATAGGTACCGATTTGCGAGAGAATTTTGAATGTGTATGTGCAATCAAAAAAATATAATATTATATATATATATATCAATAACCTAAAGGTTTCTTATTTGGGAGGGAGTAAAGGCAGCCATATGGACGTCTTTTCAAGGGGACTGCACTGTCCACACAGTCGCGAAAGTTGTTTGGTACAATTGCGTACAGAAAAGTCAAGTAATCGTCCGAACAGGCATAATAAGATTTGTGAAGCGCCAAATTTTAATATAGAATTCAAATGCAGTGAATGATAGCATACTTACCAATCAAGGTGAATACGAATAACTGCACAGATTCGGCGGAAACAAAACACATAAATTTATCTGAATCGTTTAGTGCGTGTGTGTTATTTCTCACAGTGTTTTATTAAAATACATTTGATTCATTTCTAATACCTTAATTCCTGTCACACATTGAAACTTCAGGTGTTCTCTCTGCAAACTTGTTTTTAATTTTTTTAATTCTATTAAATCGATCCTTTTTTGGATGGACCTTGTTTCTACATTATTTGAACTACAGAAGCACTTTTTAAGGAGGATTCTGATATCTCGATTGCTCACTTTTCAAGAAAATCGTCAAAGCATGTTCTTCAAAAGTATCATATACGATGATTGGACGATAAGGGAGTACAAGTATTTCTGGAGCACTGTCGCGTGTCTTTATGGACCGATTATGATGACCTTACTGGCGATAAAAGATGAGTGCGGATTGATGAATTGAGGTCAGCTCTTCAATGTTCTGAAGGGGTAATCATAGTCAGATGTGTTCATAGAGGCGATACTCAGAATTTCCACTACTAAAAGCATTGTACCAAATATTGGAAAATTTGTTGAATCGAAACACTGTCAGAGATCTTAAGAATAAATGTGTTTACGTCGAATTTATGACCACTATTTCATCACCTGCGCGCTGACTCGATTATACCAATTCAATTGTCAACACGAATGTCACTTCGCTCATATTCCTTTGGGGTTGGGAACCGGCGAGATTAAATCTAACCTCGCGGATTCGACTAGACTCGATAATAATATGTATTTTTTAAGTTAATGAACAAAAGGGCTTGATATGCTTGGGGTGGATCCTGCTGAAAGTACCTTTTATACCGACTTGAAGATAGGTACTTTCGATAGGATGCGCCCCATCATACCGAGCTCATCTTGTTCATTTACTTAAAAACTACATATTATTAGTAAATTTAGTCGAATCCGCGATGAAGGTAGATTCAGTGTGACCAGCTCCCGGACCATTTCTGTTCGCCGAGCGCTACCACTACCATAAAACCTTTATCGCAATGTCCGATGTGTATGCTGCTGTCCCACCAGGCATCTTTTTTTTTTGAGGATTATAATACACGTATTATACATGACGGAAAAAATTAAATTAAAAATTAATTTTAAGGTTTATTACATAATACATATATATGTACATTTTCAAAAATCAAATAAAAGTAAAAGTGTTTCTTTTTCTTCTAAAAGCTTGCCCTTCTTCTGTTGTGCCATTTCTTTCAAGTCGTAAACCCTTTTCATCGCATCGTCCATTTGCCGTTTCCTCCTATTTTTCTGTTCTGTGGTTATTCCTTAAAAATACACACCGAGGATTTCTCTGAGTTCATTAGGAATCATATCAATGAATTTGACACCTCGAATTATAATGAGAACAATGAATTCAATATTCCAGTGAATCATTCGATCCTCGGTAAAATGAAGGATGAGTTTCCAGCGGATCCTATAATTAGCTTTTATGGGCGGGTGCAAAAGCTTATTATATTAGGTCAGTTAAAAGTGAAATGAAACGGGCAAAGGGCGTTAAGAAGTCCGTGATACAGAAGCAGCTATCTGGGAATGACTATAAGAGAATAATCGAAGGAGGTGGGAGGGTATTGAGAAATATGCATACTTTTAAAAGCAAACTACATTATGTATACACCGAGGTGAAAAATAAGGTTGCTCTAGCACATCATGATGCTAAAAGGTTCATTATTCCTAACACCACAAAAACTTTATCTTGGGGACACTCTGACATTGAGTTTTACCAGACTGACCCCTCGTTGAATGTTAAATATGCTATAGGTGCAATCAATGATATTGCAGAAGACACTTTTCCTGAAAATGGTAATTTAGACTTATTAATAAAATTAATGTTAGAGGAAGTTTGTAAGTATTGGATTTAGGTTACTTCAAGCTTGTACAGGTAAATAAAAGCAACATGTAGTAGGAAAATGAGTTTTTACACTTACAAAACACATTTAATAGGAATGAATAAGTCCATTTTGGATAGACTAATCAAAAGCAGTGTAACTAATGCATGAGTCATGAATAACTAATGCATACACGTTGGTGTGGAATGGAAATGCAGATTTCCTGGTCTCAAATTCCAAAGATATGTCGACAGTTGAAAGTTGGAGTTGATCAGGCTGATGACTGCAATCAATAACGAAAAGCGGATTGTCATTAAATTCTTTAATATGAATCAGAGGCCCAGGAATGTTCCGGTTGTAGTATGTTTTTTGAAAGTTCTCAAATGCATAATAAGCTGCGGTGTTGAGCTTTATTCGAAATTCAAGTTCCACCTTTCATATGGGAATACTTGGTTGCTCAACTTCAAGCGAATCGAGTTAACGTTGGCATTTATGAATTTCGTTATATCCATTAAATTATTTTCTTCAACTGTAGAATCTTGAATTCCAATGATAACGAATAGGGGTCTCTCTAGTTTACTGGTTGTTCTAACTGCCCAAGCATCCGATGAAGTAGAACGAAGGGATGGAAGGTCATGGAGATCCCAAGATCGAAATGCTACCTTGATCCTTGAGCTCACGTGTTCATTTAACCTTTGCAGAAGCTTGACTTTGTAACGATCTTCTAGAACGATGTGTTGAACCTTCCATTAAATCTCAGATTTTGTCAATTCAGCATCACATTCACCTACATAACAGTGTTTGAAGGATCTTGCAATAACCATTAAAAGCTCTTGTTTTATATTCTCCGAATCCCATTATATGTTTTAGGGGTATCTTACCACTAAAAACTTTGCTTTTGTCATCCCATCTAGCCGAGATCTCCACATTTAGGCCCCAACCAGTACATAAAAGTGTATGCATAGCACTTTTACCATGTGACACTATCGTGTTTATAGTTGAAGTTATCCCTGGATTCCGAACTCCATAAACTTTTTCGCCACCCACCTGTAGGAAAATTTCTTGAAATAAAAAGGCCAATGCACTGATTGATAAGTAGCAGGGTTTCGTAGCGTCGCTAGGCGTAAATGTTCCCTCGATGTAAATATAACTGTCAGCAATATTTAAAATAAGATCTTGGAAGTTTATAGGGATGTGAACATACCTGAATTCTTGAAATATGGTGGTCCATATGGTTTGTATGTGTATTCTTGTAGGCTACCTAAGGAATGATCTATGATGGGTTCCTCAAAAACATCCAATTTCCCATTTGATACGTGTAGAACCATATCGTTTGATTAGTTTCAGCCCTACAGACTGCAGGAACTTGCGATTTTGCAATGAAATATTCGATGCTGTCTCTTTGACGATGGTTGAACAACGAATAACGGAATTTCCATTGGTTCTTCGTCTTTTATGATTAGTTGTGCGACCTTTTTCTACATTCTTCAAATGATATATATCTAGGTTATATAGAAATCTCATCGTCTTCAGCTGGCACTAGACAGTTCTAATTTAACTATAATTTTTTCACCACGGAAATTGACCAAATTCCCGACGTCATCCAAAATTCCCCCTGTGATGTTATCAATACACTGGCATCCACGCGGTTTAACGCTCATATATATTACAATCTAAGGCTCCTTTGTTAATTTAAATCCCAGTTCAACGTCTATATCAAACTTATACAAAGTGTTGTCATTGCAATAAGCTCCTGATATTAATCCACAGTCGACTCTTATTATCCTGATGGGGGTTATGCTTACAGGTAAATTCGATGTGTAGATTTTGTTTCTGGGACAAATTTTGTTCTTAAATCCAAGCAAAGTTGCCATGGAATTGGACAGAGCAAGATTAAATACAGAGTGGGTTCACACTTCAAAGTATTTGTGTTGGCTTTCAAAGAGAACATTTCATCAACATTGTTTTCATATCTCTAACACTCATTGATATTATTTCACGTTGTATGTATCTATTGATATCTTCGATTTCATAAAAACTTTCGGGAAGGCTTACCACATTACTTTCGTCACCCTCGTGAGTAACAGATGTATTATTATGTTGATCATCAATATTGTATATGGTGTTGTATGAATAAAAGCCAATCAACCCCTGACCCTATTCCGCACTTATATCCAACTCGACTGGTGGATAAAAATTAGCAGACAGTTTGCTAGTGTAACCCATTAGAGTAAATGTGTTAGATATGACTGAAGAGTTGATGAATGAAAACATGGTCTTATATAGATAAACAAATATTTATTGGTTACAGCAGTTGTTTGATTCAGATGTATTTTTAACATTGATATCTTGCATGTTACAATAACAACAAAATATTTTTCTTGGTGGCGGTCCATCTGCTTCATCATCACTCCTGCTTATTCCATGGTGTTCCCAGCAGAATTGGAATCGTTGTATATCAGCGTCCTCCTTCAAATGCTCCGGCAGTTTGTTCCATACATGTGCTATTTCATTTGGCGTGCAGCATATGAGTACCTCTTTCGGTATGTGTGCAAGTTCATCTTGCGTCATATTCAACACGCTTCTCTCCCTTGAAAAGGCTTTAAGAGAGTCTCTAATCTTTTTCAATCGTTCGTGATCCATTGTCTTCAGCGCTCTGATGTTTCTTCAGATAGAAATCGTAGACACAAATGACCACACCAAAACGTATTGAACTGTTGCTGTCGATTATAATAATTGTACAAGTTTTTTATCTGTTTTCGACTTGTTGGTCAAATGTTTGATTAGCCCCTTGGGTGGGGGTACATTGCCGAAACTATCATAGTACCATACAACCATCCCACGTTTTATATATAAAATCCAATGTGACCCATCCCCACTCTTGTTAACTAAATTAATTATCACTGATTCATTCTTCAGCGGATCCTGCTCGGAAATTTCATCGCGCATAAATACTCCTTTGAAATATGGTATTTTTAGCTTCCTAGCATAATAGATTAGATCTATATTTGTTAGAGGTCGAGGGGGGAGGGTTTTCAATAGTTTTTTGAATTCCTTAACTTGATGAATAACCCCAATCCTTTACGGTATGGTTTCAGAAAGGGACCATCCCCAATTCGATTCACATTAGAAGGTGGTGAAGTGCTTTTATTTTGAATTTGCTCACGCGCTGAACTAGCTGTTTTAGCAGCTCTTGTTATGTCGGCAATACCCCCAGCTAGACTACCTAATGCTGATAGACCGGCAAAAATTGGTATCAAAGGAAGGATGCCTCCAACCCTGGGAATAGGTATAACTCGTGGAAGCTGAATCAGCCATTTTCCACCGATGGATCTGATATGCTTCCCGGCAGCAAGTAATGCAGCGGAAGTCGCCTTTGCTAATACTCTCTTGTCTGGTTTACAGTTTGAGAACCTTTTCATGTGACTGCATACTTTATTCACTACCCCGATCCAAAATGTACCTTTGTCTGTGATCTACTTGATTTTCTACGGATAACTTTTCTTCCTTTATGTTCACGCCGTAATGATGTCCTTCCATACCTATACGATGTTTGACTTTCATAATACCCGATTTTCTGCGGATGTATTTTCCTCTACTCCGTCCACGACATGATGCTAGACCCATTCCTGCGTGACGTTTTACTTTCATGATATTAGTAACTAACCAAGCGGCAGCTTTTTCTCCAAGTTTTGCATCTCGAGATTGGACTCTTTTCCAAGCTTCTTGCTCAAGTTGATAGTCAGCAACGTGTCTCGCTGTCAAATCAGATTTCTGATATGCAATATCATGCTGTAGGCATGCAGCGTCTAATTTATTAATGCCTTTCTGACCTAGGGCTAACCTTTTTTGAAGACGTGTCCCTAGACCGTAGAACTGGTAAGAAGGTAAGTGTACTTCGAATGGTAACTTATCTCTCAGCGTATCGACAAAACCACCACCACCAGCTGCTTTTGGAGTGCTTTGACACCTTCTAATGCGAAATAGTGGCATTTAACTAAATAAGACATACGCAATTGCGGTTTATACATGCTCAACTCGTACAATGAGGGTCACAAAACAGAAACAAGAATTATGTATCAGCAATATTGATACAAAAGTGGCGGATATACAAAACAATGCTATGCAGCGGCATGGAAGTCTACTCTCATCGACAATCCGCTGTATTATTGTTGGACCATCGAGCTGTGGAAAAACCAACGTATTAATATCGTTACTGCTACATGAGAATGGACTCTACTTTGAAAACGTCTATATATTTTCAAAATCATTGAATCAATCGAAATATCAATTTATACATAAAGTACTAACTTCGATCAATGGTTTAGGATATTATACATTTAACAAAAATTCTGATATTTTACCACCTTCAAAAGCCAAGCCGAATTCAATATTCATTTTTGATGACGTAATGACAGAAAGTCAGACTTCTATTCTAGAATACTTCAGAATGGGTAGGCACAAAGGTGTGGATTGCTTCTATTGTGTGCAGAGTTACACCTGGGTGCCAAAAGGGTAATAAGAGACAATGCTAACCTAATTGTCTTATTCAAGGTGGATAACACACATTTATCTCATTTTTTCTCCGATCATGTAGCACCTGATGTGACCTTTACGCAATTTCAAGACATGTGTGCAATGTGCTGGAGCGATAAATACGAATTCTTCGTCATCGATAAGGATAGCGAACTGATAAGTGATCGTTACCGGAAGGGGTTTGATAGTTTCATAAATCCACTGGAAGATTAGAAACACCGTCAATCAATCGTGGGACTACATCTAGTATGCATCGCGGTGGATTAAAAGATAGCAAAATGAAACGGCAGCAGAATAACACTGAACTGACACTCAAGAAGGAATTAGTAGATGCAGCAGAGTCAGTTCAGAAGAAATTTATTGCTATCAAGAAAGGACGTGAATTCCATGATAGTGCATTGCAGCAGGTTATTACTAAGCAGCTCAAAACAATAGCGGACGCATATATATCCAGCTTGTCGAAACAGTCAACACCCCAAATCGTTAGTCCAAGCATCCTAAAAAGTATCATTTGATGAATCAAGAAAGAAATTATTTGATGCGACAAAATCAGGTGTAAGAAAAACTGAGTTGCTTAAGAACAGTAGTGAATTCAATGACCATACATTTGAGCAGATCTTTCCACCGACTACAAGCACACCTAGGGCACAATCTATGGAATCAAGTAATTCAGGAAACGTATCATTTGGTGACTTGACTCATACTAAACTTCCTAATATTGCCCCGATGCAAACGCAATCTGACACACATTCATTACTCGGAGCGGGCGAAGAAAGTTCAATGAGTAGATACATGTCTACTTCAAATCGTAGTGAAGCATCCGGATCTTTGACCAACTTGATAAATAACCATATATCTAATTTAAAAGCAAACAATCCAGGGTATGGAGGCATATACAATGTAAGAATGAATCCACAGTCGGACAGGTTATTATTAGGCAAACTCCAAGTGAGCTTTGATGTTGGTGGACGTTACTTGCTATTGGATTCTGAGAAGAAGAAGGAGACAAAATTTAAAATGTCTCCCGAATAACTCGATTCGATATTTTTGGACAAACTGCCTGATACAAAGAATTTAGACTCCCGAAACTTGAACACATTCAAAAATATAATGATTAAAATAAATGTACTTCGTAAAGCATATTTTTCTACATATGACTTCAGAAACGATGAAACTGAATATTTCGCTAAATTACTGAATATCCTATCAATAACATCGCCCAAACGCCTGAGATCATCAGTGGGTCGGGGTATATATTTGAAAGCACCCAAATATAAAATATATAACGATAAGCAATATGGATATGTATATTGGAATAATATTAATGAGTTAATTGATAGACTGAGGTTGCTATATAGCTCAAAAATGTCTGGGCATACAAACTACGATAATGAAATGACATCAATAATAGAAGAATTGCGTGATGAGGGTGCTATACGTTGATTCGCGTATATTTATATTTGTCAACCTAGAGTATATCACATCACTTACAAATATGCCTTCAATGCAGCATTGTGTGAGGTATGGTGCCGTTGACAATTTTGGACGTCGCTGGTCAAAATGGCATAGCGTACGTGGTATACCTGGTATTGGCTACAAACTAACTACTAATGGTGACTATGATATCGAAAAAAAACTGACAAAAAACGTTGGTGATCCTGAGGACAAAAACGATGCTGTGACTGTAAAGTATATTGAAGAAACCATGAATAAATTTGTAACCGAAATGGGTAAATTGATGCGACTAGCAGTTTCCAATGTATTAAGTGATTCAATGACATACTGCAACGATAAAGTGCTAGAAAGTAAACGTGACTTTGACAAAAAGTTTAACGAGTTGAGTACGATTTTAAACCTATCACTTCCATCTAAATAAACTAGATAACTGCAAATACAATCTCTTTCCATCAGGGTATTCATAGTAGTGAATATGTCGATCATAAGCGAAACAAAACGTGGAATAGCCAAGGAGCTACATATGGCGGCTCGAAGGGACTTCGCCCGCCGAAGAACTATCATAAAGGGTTTCGCTGACTTGTGGCAAGCTGATTTGGCTGAAATGCAATCTTTCAGTGAAGTGAATGATGGATATAGATACATATTAGTACTTATCAGTTGCTATTCTAAGTTCATGTGGTGCAGATCAGTTAAAAAGTGGTTGATATTTTACAAACGGGTACCCACCACCCAAAGAACCTACAAACGGATAATGGATCGGAGTTCTACAACAGCAATGCAAAAGTATGGGATTAATCATTATTCCACAAATAGTACAAAAAACGCAGCAATAGTTGATAGAGCTATCCGATCACTGAATTTTCAGTCAGGGGGAGGTACCGGTTAAAATATACAAAGTCAACATTTCAAATCCAGTTACATATATGTTAGAAGACGTGGAAGGTTGTGCAATAAAAGGCTGTTTCTAAGCGAAGGAACTAAGAAAAACAAAATTTCCAAATGAGTACTTGATTGAAAAAGGAGATTAGGAGAAATGGCAACAAGCTTTTAGTTAAATGGTTAGGTTTTCCACATTATAAAAACTCTTGGATAGATAGCAATGATGTATTGTAATGTTTTGTGTTATATTTACGTAGTCGATATATGTTCGAAATGGTTGTATCTATAAAAAAATACAAATTCTTTAAATCTTGTTTTAATAAACTATCCTAGACACATTGATTTTTACAGTCATTCAAAACCCCTGAACCTACCCACTTCACTCTCCCTCCACTGTTATCTTTCGTTTCAGATTCAGAGACGTCTTTGCCTGACCACAAGGGCAATATAAAAACGTTGAACCTACCTGCCTTTACGTATCCTTATTGGTTAGCATGCAAGAGGTTAGGCCACGCCGTATATTTACTAATGATAAAACGCCTCTAACCTACCGGTTGATCGTTCTCCTGTTGGAATTCACCCCCTCCCCCCTTATGTGTGTGTGTGTGTGTGTGTCAGGATTCCACATATATGTATATATATACAGCGTGATTTTGAAGTTGAGTCATTAATTTTCAGATAATGATTGTAGAAGGAAGATAAACCAAAATATGTGTGTAAAAATAAAAATAAAATGTTACCTTGTTTTATAAAGTATCCTCCCGACAAGTATTTCAGTGCGGACCTGTATTTGATCGTGCGGTCTCGGAGCACCGGCATGCTCTCCCCTGTGAGGTCTTAAGTCACCTGATTCGCGAGCCCTTTGTACTACATTCAGCATTTTCGTAAACATGTGCCATTTTTTATTTCGTTTGAGCTACGCAACAAACACCACTATTCACTCACGCGTTACCGACTGACACATCTTCTGAATACAACTGAATAAAATTGTACATTGTAGTAAAAACATCGATTCAAATTCTTTCGCTTTTTTGTTTCCGATGCGATGAACGGATAAGGCGGATTATATCCGTTGTTGCCAAACACGAACACATAATATTATTATTGAGACAGGGCGGTACTCAAACTTCTAAAGGGCTATAACTTTGTTACTTTAATTTTACCAGAAAATGTTAAAGGAAAAAAACATTTCTTTTGATCAGATCTACTCACTGTTAAAATAAATGACTCAACTTCGAAGTCACCCCCTATATATATATATATATATATATATATATATATATACAGGGTGAAAGTCACCCCCTATATATATATATATATATATACAGGGTGACTTTGAAGTTGAGTCATTAATTTTCAGATAATGATTGTCGAAGGAAGATAAACCAAAATATGTGTGTAAAAATAGAAAAAAATTAAAAACAAATTTTTACCTTGTTTTATAAAGTATCCTCCCGACAAGTATTTCAGTGCGGACCTGTATTTGATCGTGAGGTCTTGGAGCACCGGCATGCCCTCCCCTGTGAGGTCTTAAGTCACCTGATTCATGAGCCCGTTGTACTACATTAACAAAGGCACGAGGGGTTGGTTGCACTCGATTGGGAAACCGATCCGCATAAATATGTGCCATTTTTTATTTCGTTTGAGCCATGCAGCAAACACCACTATTCACTCACGCGTTACCGACTGACTGAATAAAAACATCGTGATCAGCGTTTCAAATTCTTTCGCTTTTTTGTTTCCGATGCGATGAACCGATAAGGCGGAGTATATCCGTTGTTGCCAAACACGAGCACATAATATTATTATTGAGACAGGGCGGTACTCAAACTTCTAAAGAGCTATAACTTTGTTACTTTAATTTTACCACAAAAATGTTAAAGGAAAAAAACATTTCTTTTGATCAGATCTACTCACTGTTAAAATAAATGACTCAACTTCGAAGTCACAGTGGAGTGACTTTCTGTCACATGCATTGTAGTGGGCAAGCCTCACCCCAATCAGATGGTTGACAATTCTCAATTCGAATTTATGGCAGCTATCATTGTTATTGTATACAATTTTGTACGTTGTGTACCTTCAGCTATCGTTATCTTTAATGTGAAATTTGAAAATTTCCAGAAGGTTGAAGATATTTGTCGGAAACTTAACATTTCTTTGATCGCCTTCACTCAGCTGATGGAAAAATTTTAAGGCATTACAATATAATGTATTCATGCATTTATCATGCGTTGATGTACTTCAATGAAATAACAACAACTCAATATGCCAGGTATTTATTTAATAATAATGCATTGTATAATCCTATAGTAAACTAAATAGATAGTGTTCAATCCTCATACTCGAGGTTATATTTGAGGATATTTTCCGGAGGTAAATACCTTGCAATCTCATACAGAAATGATCTAAGTTTATAATTAATCATATCACTACAAAACTGCTCAATAGTACAATCTTCTTGTAGATACTGCGTGCACAACTTCTGCCCTTCCTCGTATTTCCGAATTAGTCTCCTGATCCTTCCAACCTCGTTATCATCCCAACAAATATGCATATCGTTGTTTGTTGAATGTTCAGCGTCAAGCATCAAATCCGTTAACTGGCACACTAATCTCATGATAGCTGTATGTAGATCCTTTGAATCATTCCAACGCAATGATGCATAATGCTGCTTCTGGAAAGATAAATATAATGGTCAATATCAAGTCGAACATACTATTTGTCAAAACAACTTTACCTGCTGCATTTTCCTAACCCAGATCTGATCTGAATCTTTATATTATTTATACCCATATTTTTAAACTAATTACTACTTCAACAAAGTCAAATTTTATCAAAAATTTTGAACGACTACCTGGTGTCTTTGGTGAGCTTTGGCCAATATACGCTAAATAATATTTGTTTTGGGACTTATTTATATCTTTAATCATAATTTCGGGCATGTTTTCCAACACTCTTTTGGGTAGCCAAACCCTAAACCGGTCAGAATCAAGAATGGTTGCTACTAGACATTGCCCAAACGTTGATTGAGTACTTGAAATATTCTTAATGGGATAAGATTTGTTTACAGTTAATGATGATAATGTTCTAGATGGTATATTGTTGTCAGATTCGCAATTTATTTTATTGCTTATTTTATGCAAGGCTGAGGTAGTGATAGACATTATTAAAAAAAATAAATATAGTGTTGGATAAATAATATAAAAGGATGCTCACCAAATTCTATCTGCTAGGTACTTCAAGAATATTATTTTGTCACTTCTCGATGTTAAATAACTGAACTTAAATGATCAAAGCTGTTGTTGTTTCACTATTTATATAATAACTAGCAGAGTTAGATTACCTTACAGCAACGGCACATACAAGGCATTTGAACAACCCCCAGATAAATTTCGGCTAGCCCACAAAAATATACAGTCAACATTTCTATTATACTGCACCGAACAGCTGAGAGGCTTTACAATCGGTATGGCCATTGTGAGGACAACAATGCCTTAACAACACCTTCCATCGACGACTCTTTTTCTATTATAAACGCGTTTATGATCGGGGACAGAAGCGCGAAAATGTTTTACAGTTCTTGATAGGGGACCGAACTCCTGTGAGGTTTTACAATTTGCAGGATCATTGAGAGGGTAACAATGTCTTCCATCGAACTATTTACACGATACAAATTTGTCGAACAACACGTTTTCGATGCTAAGAGGATGGGACCCCCCCCCATTACCGCACCACACACGGCGACTGAGAGGGCAACAATGCATTACATCGTCCGTCGACTCATTTCAGAATACGTTGGTGATCGGGGACCGAACCGATAATAGGTTTTAGGATTAGCATGCCCATTGAGAGTCGACTCTTTTCGAGCTATTTATACGATACAAATTTGTCGGTATGGATTAAGGTGGAGGGATGACGAGATTGAAGTGGGAAAAGAGCGCTGCTGCTCGTTCGCCCGGTCGATGAGTTATAGTAGTGGCGGGAGGGGGAGGGGGTGTATCAGTTAACCACACCCCCTCCGTCGACTCATTTCTATTAAACAACACGTTTTCGATGCTATGAGGATGGTCATTGAGAGGACTCGGAATTTAAACACCCCCAGCTCCTTAGTACACCACACAAACCACCCCCTCCCCCCAACCCCCGGGAGGAGTTCCTTCCGGCCCCAATCATCTACTTAAATTGTTATTCATAAATATAATGCCTTAAAACTTTCCTTAGATCTCATATTCAGAGCAGCTATAAGTCCATTTTTGTAAAGCATTACCTAATTTTTTTAAAATTTGACATGAGTACCTCAGGAAGTTCACTTTACCCTACCCACACTGTAATCCTAATATCACCAGTACTTCAAAATAGTAAAACACATTGGGACAAATATAAATAAAAAAGTGTTGCGGCTCTGCAATCACAATAAGAGCAAGTTGTATTCAGCTTGTTTCAGCATTTGTGGTGAGCGCAATGACGTGAAACCCTCATTGTTGAATAAATTTTGTCTCTCAAGAGTGTCATTATAAACTTGAAGTAGAAGTTGCACTCATATAAAATAGTAGGAAACAAAGAAATACCTAACCTATGTTAGTACACACTTTTCTTTTTAGAACCAACCGAGAAATCACTCTTTGAGGTTTGGTGCATCACTGGTGAATGCCCTGAACATTCTGCAATAACCTTTCGTGCACGTCTCTGCTTCTAAAGAAAATGTTAACTCTCGCGACTGCTACCCTCAATAAAAGGATTCTAATTCTATTAGCGCAAGATCCTTCCTGTTGCTGTTTGCCTAGCTCGCCGACTAAATTATCTGCCAAAGTCCGTTACATTGCGATACTGAAACTCCCGCAGTCTAATGCACAATGGCAATTTGCTGATGCTATTTGCCAGTGTGAAACATCTTATCAGTCATAGTGAAATATACAATACGCGAATTAAGGACCGCCTCCAACAGTGAGATATTTAACCCAATGAGTAGAGGAGTTTCACACGGCAAAACTTCGAGCAGCTATGGGTTTGGTGTTTATGCTGCTACAGAAATACTAGCGAAAATCATCAGGGTCTATAAGCAGGATTGTCGGCCCTGAAAATAGCTCACATTTCAAGTTGGCAGCATCTGTTAAATGTTTGCATTCATTTAGATCAATTGCATTTTGAACTTTCATCAACGTCCTTCTTATTATTATAGAACTCGAGTGTTCTTTAAAAGCATAAAATTTGCAATTTTATCATTTTGTGTCAAAATTCACATTTTCATTTAACCTTTGTTATTCTTATGCGAGCACGTGGTCACAAGGCTTTCTCCTTAAAATCTATGAGCACGTGATCCCAGCACGTCACAAAACATATACCCGTAACTAAAAATGACAGTGCTGATGCGACTGCGATTACAAAAAAAACAAAAGTTGAAATAAATCAATCCAAATGTAATAAGACTCTTGTTTTTAAGGTATGCGCAGTGGATCAGCATGTTCATCTTTGAATACGTTTTGTGTTTTAGTGTGTTTCATAATACAGGGTCTTAATTAAGTATGTACCATAAATTTAACAGATGATCCTTTGAGTAACATCAAGACAAAAAGTTCATATAAACATGGTCCGCAAATTCTTCGTTCTCAAGGTTCTGTGTCTTAAAATTCAGAAAAATGGTTTTGCCTAAATATCTCAAATATCCTATACCTAATTTGTTGTAATTTGGCGGTGGTATTCATAACATTAGGAATCCGATTCAGCCATAACTTGATTAAGTTTATTAAGTATATTTGTGGTAAAAAATGTACGCCACTGACTTTTGTGCAAGTTTTATTATGTCATTTGGATTAAGCAAATGGCAGTACAATTTTTTTGTGTCTTGATTTTTTTTCGCATCTTGCTTAGTTTTCGAGAAGGAATATGGAATAATAAATAAGTTTCTTTTGGAAATTATTATTTTTCTTCATTATTAATTTGTAACAACAACAAACACTAAGTAACACTAACATCTGCACTAAAAAAATTTCACTAAAAATTAAGTGTTGAAAATGGCCCCCTTTGACTTCAATACAACCGTCTAGCCGCCTCATCACTCAATTCGCACTCTCCTGAAGATCTGGCATATTTTTTATTGTCACATGAGCTAATGATTTTATTCCGTAAATCCTCTTCACTTTCAATAGGATTTTTGTATACCAACGCTTCAATGTTTCCTCAGAGAAGATAATCTAAGGAATCCATATCGAGCGCGCGAGGTGGCCATATAGGTGTGGACCAGCTCTCCCAATCCAGCGATTATGGTAATTTACTTTAAAAATTGCCACGCCACTAGTGTGGTGGATCCCCGTCGTGCATGTACATACCACATACGAAATCTTTTCATGACTGCAACTTCTTCTAAAAGTCTCGCTAAAACAAATTCCAAAAACCTTCGGCATTTTTCTCCATTAAGTTTAGGTGGACGAAACTGAGGCCCAATGAGATTGGTCACCGACAATTCCAATCCAAATATTAAAAGAAAATTGTTCTTGAAAATTATCTTCCGCAAGTATTAAGGCGTGCGGATTGTTTTCGACCCAAATATTGTTGTGGAAGTGGAAGTTAGTAATTGAGCTGTGAGAAACCCAAGCTTCATCTGTAAACAATATTCGACTTAGTAAACCTGGACTTCTTCTCATTTTACTGCATAACCCATTAGAAAAAGCTAGTCTCAAAGGCATCTCTGAGCAATACACGTTGTACGTATATGATGTTGAGGAGTTGCTTCAATTTGATTTAAAACAACTTCTTCAATTTAAACTGTTCGTACCGTTGCAGGCCTCCCGATGACGACCGTCGATCTTTTGTAGCTTCCCGTTTTAGAAAGTCGTGCATGCAGACGTACAAATATTCTTCCATTAGGCACTACAAGCTGAGGAAATAAGTCATGATAAATGCTTATAAACGATATCTGTCATTTCACTTCAGTAAATTCTACCGTAATGAACAAAAAATAACCACTAAAAACACGTTTTATAAAAATTATAAATTAATAGCTTAAATACTGATTTGACGAAAGTTAACTTGTTTAGTAACTGCTGCAATCGTTCCAAGGTAAGCCTTTGATTATTATTTACTACTAGCAGACCCGACAGACGTTGTTCTGTCTTAGCTATAAACTGGGATGAATAATGAATAATTAAAGGGAAAATATATGGAATATAGATAATTGTATAGCGAAGTGTCGCCACGTGGCAAGCAAAGTACGTTGGCAGCACTGCCATTCCCCCATCAACTTACCTTGAAAATAGGCATAAAATTATGTCGAACAATTTTTTTTTGGCCAAATGACGTCACCTGAAATCAATTATTGTATTGCTCGATACGAATCAAAAAATATATAGAATCTGGCCCATTTCCGGAAACCAATGAATGTAGTGGTTTTTGAGAATCACAATTTTAATATAAGGCGTGATTGCGGTGAACTAACTTCCAGATCTGTTAACTATTTTTGAACAAATACTTCTCAAAATACTCACTGAACAAACTGAAACCTATATAAAAGTTCTAATCGAATAGTTTGTGCACTACTAATTAAATAAAAAAAATATTTTTTATCGATAAAGACTTAAACGATAATATAAATTTGCAGCTTGCGAGCTGTCAAGTTCAAAATGATAGAGTAGTTAAAGTCAATTAAGCAAAAGAAACGTATTTTCATCCACCATTTCA